TCTATCAGCAACTTCACGAGCTCCTTCGTTACAGAAGAAGCACGGATACTGTGGTGTTGGCTGGCGATCTAAACGCGCAAGTCGGAAAATTGTCTTCTGATGAGCTTCATCTGGGCGGCCAACATGGTGTAGGCTCGCGTAATGACAACGGTGAGCGATTGCTACAGCTGTGTGAAGATGCTCGTCTCTTTCTCACTAGCATAAACTTTCGACACAGCACCCGCAGAAGTGTGACTTCGCGGCCACCATCCTCGGGCCAGCCATGGACGCAACTCGATCATATCGCGATCAGTTACCGCTGGAGAGGCTGTGTCCAATACTGTCGCTCGATTTGGAGCACTAGCGTAGATTCTGACCACGCACTTGTCTGCGCCGACCTCCGGGTGCGTTTCGGTGGACGGCCGCAACCTCGATGTGAACGGATTGACACCAGCCAGCTGGCGAAGCCAGATGTTCTGAATGTGCACCAAAGTGCGCTGACATCTGGGCTGAGTAAGCGCCTACTAAACACGGTTGAAGATCACTGGTCGCATATTCGTCAAGCGTTGCTGTTAGCAGGCATGTCTTCATGTGGCAAATCAAATTGTGAAACTGGACATTGGGTCTCTATACAGTCTCTGGAACTTATGGATGCTCGCCGACGTATTCCGGCTGGAAGCGAATACAATGAGGCCCGTAAAAATAGGGCAAAATTACGAGCTAGCTTAAAGAAGGGCCGCGAAAACCCGGTGGTCTCATCATGACTCTGATATGGAAACAGCTGCTGCCGTTGGTAATCATCGTAAGTTATTCCGTCTGATACAGGAAACAGGCAGCAAGAGACCTGGTGTTAGTGAGTCCATACGCGACAAGAGTGGGCAGCCGATCCACAGCCTGTCAAAACGCTTGGAACGTTGGGCTGAACATTTTGCAAGGCAATTTAACCAACCTGAGTTATCGCTTTCTTCTTCGGACATTGAGCGCCCTTCTCCTTGGGCCGTCTCCTTGGATCCGCCCTCACGCGCAGAAGTCGAACGTGAGATCAGGCTGTTGAAATTACATAAGGCCGCAGGGGCAGATAGAATTCCTCCAGCTCTCTTCAAATCCGGGGGACCTGCTCTAGTAGATGATTCACACGAGTTGCTAGTAAAACTTTGGGAGCAGGAGACAGTTCCGACAGACTGAAACCGCTCCGTCATTGTCCCGATTTTTAAGGGAGGCTCCCGTTTGGAATGCGGCAATCATTTTGATTGCCTCTAAATTTCTTGCCTCTGTCATTCTCCACAGACTGACTGGCACTCGTGAAAGCCAGATTCGTGAAGAGCAAGCTGGATTTCATCGAGGTCGGGACTGCATCGACCACATCTTCACCTTGCGTGAAATGTTGGAGCACCGCCATGTTTATTGGCTACCCACCGTTGTCGTGTTTCTTGACATCAAAGGTACCTTCGACTCAGTCGATCGATGTGCCCTTTGGGACTGTCTGCTGAGGAAAGGTGTGCCTGATAAATGTGTAAACATTATCAAAGTGCTGTACGCGCATACTTCGGGCAGAGTGAGGGTTTATGGCAAACTGTCGCCAAGTTTCAGTATCACAAGCGGTGTGAGACAAGGATGCCCGCTGTCACCTTTCCTATTTAATTTCGCTATTGATGAAGTCATGGAAACAGCGTTCGCTGGACACGATCTAGAAGGTGTGGAGCTACTTCCTGGTGAGCGACTTCTTGACTTGAAGTATGCGGACGATATCGCCCTAATCTGTGACAGCTCTCAAACATGCCAAACAACACTGGACTGATTAGCACTGGCTGTCAATCGTTTTGGGCTATGCTTTGCTCCATCGAAATGCAAAGTACTTCTCCAAGATTGGTAGGGACCCACCCCTGCGCTAACGCTTGGTGGTGATCTGCTAGAAGTCGTTCAGGAATTCCAGTATCTGGACAGCTATATTAGCACCCGTGGGATCAGAGATGAGCTTAAGAACCATATAGCAAAAGCCCGAGGTGCTTTTGCCAATCTCCACCACCTGTGGCGCAGACGCGACATTACTCTCGCCCTGAAGGGCCGAGTTTACAACGAAGCCGTCCGTTCAACTCTCCTATATGGCTGTGAAACCTGGCCCATCAGGTCGACTGACATGAAGAGACTCGTCACATTCGATCATCGCTGCCTTCGCAGCTTAGCTCATGTCTGGTGGGAACACCGCGTGAGCAATGAGCGTGTTCGACGTCGCGTATTTGGTGCAGGCAGAGCGAGTGAACCGCTCAGCACCATTATACGACGCACCAGGCTCCGATGGCTGGGTCACGTGTTGCGCATGCCAGCACACCGACTTCCGCGACGTGCATTGTTTGCGCGTTGTGGGTGCGGTTGGAAGAGGAGGAGGGGAGGCCAAGTGATGACTTGGTCGAGAGAAATGAAAACCCTCACTTCGAAGTTGGCGTCGGTTGGTGCATCCCGACTGCCTGGCTGGGGTCCTATGGACGGTGAACACGTTTGGTTGGACACACTTGCAGATATGGCTCGGAGCCGGCACCAATGGCGTTTGTGTTGTGAGTTCCTTTGTCCATCCCCCTCCGGTTTAGCATCCCCCTCCAATCACGATCTCACTTGTTAGACATAATATGACTCCCTTTTACGGCAGCCAGCTGTTAGCTCTCTGGAACGATGTCCATCCGTTACTGGGGACTCAGCGGGCGTGCCCCTGTTTGTTTTTCTTTTCTTGTCTTTTGTATTGCGGCACAATAGCTGAGGTGTTTTCCACCTCCAGCTAACGTGTAATGATGATGATGATGATGATATTCGTCTTTTACTAGGATAGTACTCGTTGGTGCACTCCAAACTGAGAAAAACTGACGGGACTGCGACAGAAAAGTGGTTTGTGGGGAAATGGTAATTGTACATACATGACCGTTGTAGTGAGGTCAAAATCGAACTCATCTGGCTAAGAAGACAAACGCCCAAAGTGAACTTTATGTTTGATATGACACATAAACACGCATTTGCTTCAGACATCGTGGTGGTCCCTCAACTTTCCCTTAAGCACAGTAGCAGGAATAGAGGTAACATGTTACTCATCGAAAAAACCCGCAGTAGCTCAAAACGGAATTTTTTCTTTATCGCTACGCAGTTGCGTACAATAAGCTATCACAGAATTTGAGAATGTGTGGTTCCAAGCGCGGCATTTTTAGTCGACCAAATGGAGAATTGACGGTCAAGACTCAACAGAGACATGGGAATAATCATGCGGTGTGAGGAAGGGGGGCGCAATGTCATATAATGAACAACAAAATTCACTAAATCGAAGAATCATTCCACCTCTATCACATCCTCAGCGTTATTTCACCCATGGCGTAACGAGGCACAAGCAACTTGTGATAACACGCGTGCATTGATGTAGTTGAAAACATAATATTGCCCTAAGTTAGTTCTGCACAACTCTCTTCGTTCTGCTCAAAGATTCACCATGTGCCTATAAAAACATGCACATAGCCGAGCCTAATCCTAAACCTTGTTATTTACCAAAAGTTTGCCGTTCGCTCTCGTTCCGTCTGAGTTGATGAGTTACCAATGTGTCTGTGTCAATATACACGCACCGATATACCTTATTATTATGACTGCATCTTCATTTAACGTGTTTTTTCCCTTTGCCATTTGCATCCATCCGGCACTTAACCTTTCATACTGACAAGCCTAATTTTCGGCCTTCAGGTCTGCATAGAAGTTAAAAGAGGAGATAATATGATTTTCTCTCACTTTCCTATTATTATTAGCCGTTTAGATTCATTTGCACAAACAGACCGTTGTCAATGAAAATGTTAGAGGCAAATGAATTCCTCAGACTCGCTCGTTTTTACATCCTGAATACCTTACATGTCTCACACGTAGGGAAATTAGCATTTTTTCTCATTTAGATACTCTAGTTAAAATGCACGGCTTTAGTTATGTAATAACGAGTGATTTTAATTGTCGGGTTATGGAGCCTGCGGTGTGTGTCATAAATTGCGACACACAAGCTCAATTGTGGCTCCGGTTGAATTTGAAGCCAGCCTCTGACATTCCGATCACTGCGACCGTATCCGAAGTGCACTCCATGACACAGCTGTGACATGCGCTGCTCGCGGAGCTCAATGGTCTAGTGATCATGGTGATATCGCTAACCACTATGGGTGAGGGCAATACGTATTCGCATCTGACAACCAACAGAACCAAGCAGCTCACAATACCATAGGTCAGCTAGTTAATAGTAACGCGATGAGATATAGAACTGGAGTAGGATGGGACTCGTAATCTCGCAATTGCCCATTGGAGCAAGCCAGCCATCGCCATCGTAGATAATAGTATTAGCAACCTCAAAAAAGCAAATTTGGCTTTAGCATTTCTGGGGCATTGCTGATTGGTCACAAAACTGTGGAGCATATATTCAGGTGTTCTCAGTGAAACCAACCAACGCTTCCATTGCGAATCATGATAAAATTCGAGTGCCACGCCCCGGAAAACGATCCATAGCCTGTATAAACTTAAAACCGGGAAGCTAGTTTTCTTCGGTAAACCGTTGCGAACATCATGTGGCTTGACACTTGGAGTGAAACTGTGTAACCGAAACACGAACGAAGTAGCGAATAAGTGCACAGTGATGGAAAACCGTACGCTCGCGAAACATAAATGAGGATGCGTCAATAGGAACGATAAATAGAGAGATAGTAGTGACGAAGGGCTGTTACACATGCTAGGAAGAGATCATCACCGCAAAACGGGTGGTGTGTGAGCTTGTATATCATGGCTTAGAAGCACTGAGAAAACACCGAAAACCACAAACATGAGAAGAAGAAAAAATGAACGTACACCCGCACGCCCAGAAAGATTCGCTGATGCGATTAATGGGCAAATGTGATCGGACACGTATGACTGGAATGGTGTTCACGATGGCATGACAGCGAGATTTACGGCATCAGAAACACACTGATTGTGATGCAGATGCAAGAGAACACAGTAAATCAAGAGGTTGGATTAGCACTCACAGAATGAGCAGTAAGCCTTGCTTTCTCCTCTTCACTTTGAGTGATTCGCCCCACGTGTTCGGCAATTGATTGAGCATATTCGTGAGACATTCGACTGAGATACTGGAGGCGAGGGCGAATCTGACGCAAGCGCTCTGTGCCAACCTCTAAAGCTTGGGTTTCACGTTCAGTCTCGGATGAAAAACCACCAAAAAACTGGGGTCGCAATTTTCCCAACAGACAACACACACATAAGAGACATTCCAATTCCGAAAGCTTCAGCCCAGACAGAAACAATGGTTTCTCGGAATGTTTGCTTCGTTGTTCCGTAATATTGCTGGGGAGTGTCTGTGGAAGAAATTTAGCAAAGTGCGAAATATATATGTACCTCGTCAACGGAGTGTGGAAGTTGAATCTCAGGTAGGAAATGAGCCAGAGCACAAAAGGTCGAGGTCAAAAACTCGTCTAAGTCGCTTTCCGATAATGAGCTCAGATAAGATTGATGGGAGTTTGCAAACTCGGCAGTAATGCGCAACAAAGCGAGACGGTCATCAGCCAAGTTCTCAGGAATATTTAAGATGTTGGGCATAACGTTTCTCAACAAGTAAAGGCACAGTTCACGTGCATGAACATTCTTCTGGAGGGAGCCAGCATGTGCTAGGTAAATTTACGAGGGTACTCACTGACACACAAATGGCCGCTTGTTTACAGCTCTCTCGGATCTGTGCAACGCAAGCAGAGTCCGCTGGCTATCGGATAAAAGTAACTATTGGAAGAAATCAACGAATCATAACATACATTGAATTCGGGGCATGCTTGTAAAGCTTGCTCAGTGATCATGAAGACAAGTTTCTGTCTGCCTGGAACGGTTGACATACACTTCAGGGAGGATAAAATAGATATCAATAGGGAGAATTCCTCCTCAGACACATCACGTAGAACCTTGTTGGCCTGCTCAATGATAAGCTCCTCCACTTCAGGAGTCAATTTGTTCTCAGGAAGACTTTTAATACGTTCCGCGAGGAATTTCATCACATGCTCTCGAGGATTGTCGGGGTTGATAGTGAGAAGTTGATTAAAGATGCCAGCCAAAGCGGCTTTAGGATCCAAATGTAACAATTGCGTGAGAACCAGAGAAATGGACTGCAGCTCCTAAAAGTGATGACTGTATCTCGTACTTTGAGAACCGAGGACTCACTCCTGCATCATCGGTTTGAAACATTTGCACTAAAACGTCAGAGACGCGTGGAACAAAAATCGGAACACGCTTGCATAGCTGCAACAAGTCATGTACCGCATGCTTCCGGATAGTGACGTCGTCCTCATCACATAAGTCTAAGATGCAATTGAAGCTTTCTTCTTTTAAATTTTCAAAGCGATTGGAGAATCGGGCGATGAACTGGCTGGAAAGTCTCTTTTCCTGATCACCACCCTTGACACCTCGTAAGATAGACCGATATGCAGCCTCTTTCTGTTATCAAACAATATGACTGAATCAACGTGATAAAACTGAAACTTGCCTCTTCTGGAGTAGATGACTCGTCGTTAAGCGTTTCATAATGAACATACAAATCAACGACGGAAGGTGTGGTCATTCCTAAGTGACAGATTAACGAAAACGGATATTAGTCGAAAAAAGTGACACAGGTAGGAAAAAACAAGCAGCATCTTTTAAAACAAAAGGCCAACCCACTCCTCCGTTTTATACAAGAGGGATGATTTATCCCACGGATGGTGATGTAGATTGAGTGCGAAAGATGCAAACAAAGAGAGCTAGCATCGCCAATGTGTTGACTTTTGCGACTGTAAACACAGGATCCGACCAATAACCAGTGGAACCGACATATTTACGCAAACAAGTCGGACAAAATTAAGAGCAGTGCTAACTGTAGGGGTGGAATAATCGAGGGAAGTCACAAGTATCATGCAACATCAAGAAGACGTCGTCTTTGTGGATTTCGCCGCTCAATGACAGAAATAACTAACATATAATGCTTCGTGTTATCCCCAATGGTTGATATGATTACAAAGTGTACTTCCCATGTTTGAACAAGGTGCAATAAAGACGAGCTTACCTTATTTCTTAACCCTTACGACACCGGCAATCGGGATAACTTAGGACTATCCTGCAGCTTCTCTTTCGCTGTGTTAATATCACCCGTAGAAGAGGTCCACGCCATCGCTCAAAAGGCAGTAATGGGATACAACAGATTGCCAGGTATAGGCTCAGCTCGATTCATAAAATGCTAACGCAGCACAGATTGGTTGATATGGTGGGAGAGCACAACTGCGGTTACTGTTAAGATGACGCCGTTCTGGTTAAGCGGTGTGAATGCACAAGTACAGCGTGTCCCAACCAACGCAGCTGACTCGATATGACCCGTTGATCTAATTGTCCGGCAGAAATTAAGAATTTCCCAGAAAATCCATTATTTCAGCGATAATCGATTGTTAACCATAACACCAATGAAGTAAGTTGATCATCGTCGCCGAATGCTCGGTGACGTGCCTCCTGATAGCGAACACGCCGCTGCCACTAGACCACAGCAGTACTCGAAGGTCACGATGGTCAGAGACTTGAAGTAATTTAAGTCTGGCCGAGTGAGCCAGGTTGCGTTGAGGCGGAGAATAACACCCTTAACTCTAGTCTTGTGTGCAAAAGAAATCCTTTTCAAGGTGATAGGTATATGGATGAGTAAAAAGGTAGTAAGATCCGCAATAGAAGATCCAAATTGCAGCAAGTGCGCACTCATGAATGGTAATACTGATTCAGGGAGAAATCGACCAATAAGATCCGGTTCCCGGTTAGTGGGTGTCGGCGGTGAGCAAACAATCGGTTGATGTTATCGTAGCGCCTTTCATATTCAAAGTCCAAAAAGGGTTTCAACAGCACGCGGGTGCGCAGTGCCGACACCTCGCTGTCGTCCAAACACCACCGGTCGCACGGTACCATGAAAGCTCGAACCCACGCCCTTGGATTACGAGCGGGGTTAGTTATGCTTAAGGCTACGAGCCGGCTTGAGAGTGCAAAACATATGCTAAAACATGAAACCAACTCTGAGTTTACTCGTAGTCAAGTGCGTCATCTCATGACTGTTAAACGGCAGGAGGATGTCTTCCGTGTAATTCAGATCAACCAACCTTTTATCAGACAGGACTTCAGTACCCACATCGTGAAGCCCAAGGTAACTCCTCGCGATTGAGTCAATTGAGTAAAAATAATGCAGCGTCGGTAGACATCACTTGTCATCAAAAGGTTACCAACAAGTAACCGCATAGTGACACAAGCCAAGGTGTTCGGGTTCAAATCGCACTGCACAATGGAACAACTCCCCGAGGGGCGACTCCTGAATCCTAATCCCTTACGTCGGCAAGGTTATGTCCTCTGTATACACGTTGACAGACTTTCATGGCGTGCAATAGACGCTGTGGCTGCACTAAGTTTCACAAACTCGCAAGGTGAACAGTTGATGAGGTGGTCTTGAGGAATGAAGAAACTGACCAAGTGGTTTGGCCAAGCTGGGGCAGTCTTCGTGGATGGGGCACCAGGGATGATCCACCCCAGTAGTTGGAAACCCTAGTAGACATGGCGTAATCGCGCAGCCAGTGGCATTACTGCATTCGTTTTCTTGCATCTAGTGTAGTGCAAATAATATGGAGGTTGTGAACGGCAAGTAGTTGAAGAAAAACTGTGCATCTACGTATAAAGGGCGCCAAAACGCTGTCAGGCGCCCGATAAGCGACCTACTTGGGTATTCATATAACCAGGAACGATCAAGACATTCGTATGCCTCGCTATACGATAGAAGATTAGAGCTGCCGATGAAATTCGTTTATGGAGGCGTAAGCTGGCTTGCGGAAAAATGTTGCGGTGCTAGCTGGATAGTTCTGGTTTCTCCCATTGCAGCAAATGCTTCGGCGGCAGTGCGCAAGGAGGTGGTGGGTTTTCAGATGAAAAACGTTCTCCCTATAGAAAACCAAATATGTCCATTTAACAATACTACGATGTGGTGGATGTGACTCGCAACCCAATAAAGTCACTTCCCCTTGCTTCACTCTGGTAGAGCACTGTATTTCAGCAGTCCGATGCTGAAGCTGTGGAGAGGACTGGGCACATATTTGGCAACCGACTAAAAGAAAGGCATATGAGCTGAAAAATCAGTCACCGGTTCCCAATGTGAGGGATTACCTGAACTAGTTCCGCTGTCTTTCGGACAGCCTACTTAACCAAAGGCTCAGAGTGGTGTCCCTCCTAAGTCAATATCCTACCTCGGTTTGGGCAACCGGGCGGTATCATGCTCACTGACGAGACCATGGAATTTTCTGTGTTGTGTTCGAGTTTCTTTTTACGATAACTGTATCTTCCTTTGATTTCCATGGGTTTTTATGGCTCCATGTCTATTCGTAGACTGTTGCATGTATATATAATAAAAATAATAATAAAATAAATAAATCGCCAGCTGAACACCGTGACGGCGTTTCGCTGCCAAGTGACCACAACGAGTAGCGGGCGGGCTGAGTATATCGCGAGGACACCCACCGCTACGCGGATTCGAACCGGGAACCTTACGGATGCAAAATAGGCACGCAGACCACTCGGCTAACGAACAGGAATTCAACGATGAAATAAAGTAAGCGTGGTTTCAAAAAACAACTATTAATCTAATGTGTCGCTGAAGTTTGAACTGCATACACGTGGCTGCTCACCTGTGTCAGCTGGCACCACGAATACATCGAACTATTGACTAGATATCGTCACGGACGGGAAAATATGGTCTTGGTCGACAGATTCGGTAGGAAGCTGCTCCTCACTTTTCGACCTGTTTCCCTTACACATCTCCCGATCCCAAATAACAAATAAATAAAGCTTCTATTCTCGACAAGACGAGGCACGCCTTTACAAGCATGATCATTTTGACATAAAAATGCGTATCAAGAATGTGCAAAAATCTAATATGTTTGCCATAACAGTGTATGTTAATGCAGGGGGTATTTAAACATGTAATTGTGTGTATGTAGCTGTGTAGTTTGTGCTGCTAAATTCTTGAAGGTTTGGTATCGTCAGCAATGTGCGAGTAGAAGATTGGTGTCCGTGAGTTGGAAAGGATTATCCGGATATTCACAGGGCAAGGACTTTATTTTGTGGCGAGTCGCGACCGCCACGTCACAGTGTTCTTAAGCAGACGTTTATGGCTTTTTATAGGGAGAACGCTTGCCAGGCGAAAACCCACCACGTCCTGGAACACTGCCACCGAATTATTTGCTGAAACGGGTTAAACTCGAACTGTCTAACAATATGTTCAGTACCTGCACTCACTTGTTCGAAAGCAAACTTGTGGTGTAATAACCGCAGTTAAATAACTTCAGTTGCAACTTCATCAAGCTTTAGCATAGTATCTCTATTAGCAACCGATTAAAAGTCGATGCAAGCCAACATATGTTTTCAATAATTCCCCATCAGGCTTGTACAATTAGACGTGGAAAGAAAATGTTTGACACAGCGTAAGGGTTGGTAAGATAAATTCGGTTCACAATCACTGATCAACTACAATCACTATCTGTTAGGTCACAAGTGCGGCATACATTCCATTCCGTGAGCCGGATGTGGCAGTTCGGGTGGGCCAAGGCAGTTTTAACGTCTGAACGAACCGTTGCTGAACACACAACTTCGGCTCGTACAGTCGAATCGCGATGGCCTCCGCGAATTCAAGCAAAAGCCTACGAACGCAGTTTGATCGATTGTCCAGGGCCAGATAGATCACTTTGGTTGACTCAGCCAAGTTGGTGGTGTGGTCAGTGTCGGCGAGATGCATGGCTATGAATGAGTTGGTTTATTTTCGACAAGCAGTCATGAAACAAGCCGGATTGTGTTCCTTCATCCTTTCAGACAAGCGCCTCGTCATTCGGCCGATGTACCCTGCGCCACAGGAACAGAACGAATAAATACACATTAATTTGGCGTGGACGGGCCTCATGTTTTTGGGGCCAGTTCTAACCATTAGGCTACCGGCAAAGTGGATTTGCATTTTGGCTGCTGGGAAAGTGTGTCTGAGGGCATGAGAAAGGCGATGGGTTATGAGTTCAGCAGCGATTTCTCCCTTGTAGGGTAGTTGGAGAAATATGGGTTTTCTCTGGACTGTAAGGGTTACGGGAGCTTTGTCCCATGTTGGTTTTCAGGAAACTGTCAGGGTAACTATTTTCTCTCAGCGTCGAACGTATGCGCTTTAGGTCTTCCGGAAACAATTCGTTCGAGTAAATTCTTTCTACTCGACTCATTAGGGTGAGGAATAGGTTGTTTTAATTTCAGTGGGACGAAACTGTGAAAATTCAGGTATTGTCCATTCCATGCATATTGCGTATACACGTGGCGTTGTAACATTCTCGGAGGTGAACTTCCGTGCTTCGTGCGCCTGATTTAATTTATTGGTAAGATCTTCGATGATTCGAGAGGAGTGGGACAGTACAAAGATATCGTCGACGTAACGGCGGTAAAGACTGAGGTTCGTGATGACAGATTTCAACTTGCCCTGTTCAAGCATCCCATGAATACGTCAGCGAGAAACGGTCCAAGTGGAGAGATCCTAGCAACTCCATCGTG